GCTACCAAACGTCACAACGTAACTGGGTGATTATAAAGGTGCTCTACCGGTGTCTCCGAAGGTACTTGTTGGGTTGGCGTATTTCAAGATTAGGATTTGTCACTCCGATTGTCGGAGAGGTATCTCTGGGCCCTCTCGGTAATGCACATCACCTAAGCCTTGCAAGCATTGCAACTAATGAGTTAGTTGCGGGATGATGTATTACGGAACGAGTAAAGAGACTTGTCGGTAACGAGATTGAACTAGGTATTGATATACCGATGATCGAATCTCGGGCAAGTAACATACCGATGACAACGGGAACAACGTATGTTGTTATGCGGTCTGACCGATAAAGATCTTCGTAGAATATGTAGGAGCCAATATGAGCATCCAGGTTCCGCTATTGGTTATTGACCGGAGATGTGTGTCGGTCATGTCTACATAGTTCTCGAACCCGTAGGGTCCGCACGCTTAAAGTTCGGTGACGATCGTAATTAGGGTTTTTGTGTTTTGATGTACCGAAGGTTGTTCGGAGTCCCGGATGTGATCACGGACATGACGAGGACTCTCGAAATGGTCGAGACATAAAGATTGATATATTGGAAGCCTATATTTGGACATCGGAAACGTTCCAGGTGAAACCGGGATTTTACCGGAGTACCGGGGGTTACCGGACCCTCCCCCCCGGGGGGGTTAATGGGCCTACATGGGCCCTAAGGGAGAAGGGGAGGGCCGGCCAGGGCAGGCCGCACGCCCCCTCCCCCCCTAGTCCGAGTAGGACAAGGAAGGGGGCGGCGCCCCCCTTTCCTCTTTCCCCCTTCCCCTTTCCTTCTCCAACAAGGCAAGAGGGGGGAGTCCTACTCCTGGTGGGAGTAGGACTCCTCCAGGCGCACCCCTAGGGTCGGCCGCACCTCCCCCTCTCCCTCCTTTATATACGGGGGCAAGGGGGAACCCCATGACACACAAGTTGATCTTCGTGATCGTTCCTTAGCCGTGTGCGGTGCCCCCTTCCACCATATTTCACCTCGCTCATATCGTAGCGGTGCTTAGGCGAAGCCCTGCGTCAGTAGAACATCATCATCGCCATCACGTCGTCATGTTGACGAAACTCTCCCTCAACACTCTGCTGGATCGGAGCTCGAGGGACGTCACCGAGTTGAACGTGTGCAGAACTCGGAGGTGCCGTATGTTCGGTACTTGGATCGATCGGATCGGGAAGACGTACGACTACTTCCTCTATGTTGTGTCAACGCTTCCGTTGCCGTTCTACGAGGGTACATAGACAACACTCTCCCCTCTCATTGCTATGCATCACCATGATCTTGCGTGTGCGTAGGAAATTTTTTGAAATTACTACGTTCCCCAACAAATGAAACAATGGGAGGAAATGAAGAAAGAGGTATTAACATTAAAGCAAAGCGATTTGCCTGATGAGGTGTATTGGAAATTTGACAATTCAGGAAAGTTAACGACAAAGTCTATGTATAGATGGTTGGAAAAGGATATTGCTGGGTCTAGCTTCAAGTGGATTTGGGATGCTAAACTACCTCTAAAAATTCAAATCTTCTTGTGGCTGGTGGGGCAAAATGTCATCCTGACTAGAGAAAACATGGGAAAAAAAAGATTTTGGCCCGGAAATCCTTGTTGTTCCTTTTGTGACCAATTGGAAACAACCCAGCACTTGCTTTTCTTATGCCCTGTATCTAGAGTGGTATGGAGAACTGTTGGAGCTCTTCTTCGGACTGATTGTTGTCCTAATTCTGTCTGGCAATACTATACTTAGGTTTACAGTTTCTTACCTGGCCTTGAAGAAAACGGAATATTAGTTTGTTGGTGAAGTGGTGGTGGAAACCGGATAAAAATAAAGGTCTCTGGCAAGATATAGTTAAGGTGAAATACTTGAAGAAAACTTTGGTGGCCATGGTGAAGGCAAAAAACAATGACTCGCCATGCTGGAAATCCCTTTTGAAAGTGAAAGACTTGTATATGCTGGGCAGGGGTGTCAAATTGAATAGGGGGGATGTGGCCAGGCTCTGGTTCGATGAACTGGAGGGTAGGACTCCCTTTAAAGAGAAATTTCCTTTGCTTTTTGAAATATGTGTTGAACAAGATTGCACTGTTGACAGAATTGATTCGTTGAATCAAATCTCCTCCTTTAGGAGGAGGGTGTCTCCTGAGATAATGAAACAATGGGAGGAAATGAAGAAAGAGGTATTAACATTAAAGCAAAGCAATTTGCCTGATGAGGTGTATTGGAAATTTGACAATTCAGGAAAGTTTACGACAAAGTCTTTGTATAGATGGCTGGAAAATGATATTGTTGGGTCTAGCTTCAAGTGAATTTGGGATGCTAAACTACCTCTAAAAATTCAAATCTGCTTGTGGCGGGTGGGGCAAAATGCCATCCTGACTAGAGAAAACATGAAAAAAAAAAGATTTTGGCCCGAAAATCCTTGTTCCTTTTGTGAGCAATTGGAAACAACCCAGCACTTGCTTTTCTTATGCCCTGTATCTAGAGTGGTATGGAGAACTGTTGGAGCTCTTCTTGGGACTGATTGTTGTCCTAATTCTGTCTGGCAATACTATACTTGGGTTTACAGTTTCTTACCTAGCCTTGAACAAATTTACACCATTGGCTTGGCAGCTATATGTTGGGCCATTTGGCTGACTCGAAACCGGTCCACCTTTGAGTCCAAATGGATTAACTCTCCGTTTGAGATTGTGTTCACAGCTTGTGCTTTTCTGATATACTGGGCAGGCCTCCGGAAACCTGAGATGGAAGAGATGGTGAAGAGGGGCGCGAAGATGCTGAAAGAGAACACAACTCAGATGATGCTGCTATGCGGGACTCCGGCGCCAACAATGGACGGGCACGATGGAAGTTAAAGATGCACCTGGAGTCAACAGAAGTATGTGCTTGTCATCGTCTGCCGGGATGTGTTGCTGGGTGCTTTGGTGGGGGTATCTTTTATTTTGGCAACTGCTGATACTGTGGCATGTGCCTGGTGATGGCGTCTGTAATATGTGCGGTACTTGTTTAGTTTCTCGTAGTGCGGCTTTGGGTGATATCAGGTTTTCGCCCCATGATCTGTCGTTTCTGATGACAGGCGCGGATGGTGGGTTTCCTGGTATTGCTCCGAACTCGCTTTTCTTCTTTCCCTAGCCCTGATAGTTTCAGTTCCTGAGACAAATGTATTTCCATTATGAAACTAATAGAAAGGGGGAAAGCCTGGTTTGAAAAAAGCTACGTGAAGATATCGGGTAGTTGTACATTTTGGTTCAGTTCAGTCCTGGAATCTGCTTAGCTTATATCGGCCCGACCCCTGTGCCATAGGTCTAGGGTGCCGGTGCACCATTTTTATTGACTGATCAGCTGGACTATTTGCCATATTGGGAGGTAGTCTTGTGCTATGAATGGAGCACTGAACAATGTTCCATTCATGGAGTAATAATACATGGTATTTTTTGGTACGTTGAGAATATTGCCATGTTGAGTAGAACACAAGCTTTCAATGCTAGTGCGGCTCAGAATAAAGGAGCCTGATTCAGGAAAGAACCATAGCTGGTAAAAGGTAAATTGCTATGGATTTAAAAAAAATACACAAGTTCTGAGCGTTTTAACATTTTACAGCAGGCCCTAAGAAACTGCTTCTAACAGATGCTTTGGTATTCCTTTCATTTACCCAGGCATTTAAAAAAAACGTTGAGGTGAGATGCTTTGATACAGGCATATGAGGCGTTCATTACAGGTAGTAATAACTTACAGATTCGCACTTCTGGAAGAACAATATTATTAACTGCTAAGCTTTTTCGGGCGGAGGAAGTATTTTGTATGGATAGTCAATTCTGTTTAAATAGCACAAATTCTTGGTCTGTACCTGCCATCACGCTCAACTACATGGCATAGCCCATGTCCCCCAATTTTAGAATCCATGGAAAGAAAATCACTCTGTTTATATGGCATAAATGTACATCTAAGCAGACAAACATCTCACTTAGCCATGCTATAAATGCACCAGTGGTTGTAGGACATCAAGAGTATCCACAGGTGGGTGGCCAAGTACCAATAAGTCAAACAGAAAAGAAAATTAGTATTTTCTCTAGAGTGGAAAAACTGCTAGATATTCATAATAGAAAAACATGCACACAGTTTTACCACAAACTACAGGTGGCCAAGCACCGACATTTTAAGAGGATGATGTGTGGGTTGAAAAAGGATAATGCAAATCTTATCTCATCACACATGAAGAAACGATGTACCAATTTTAGTTAATAATACCCACAAAAAATAAATGTTTGGTACCGTAGAAAAGAAATTTCGATGCATTTGACCAAAATATATACATGGACAGAAATATAACTCCACGACCATTAAATCTACTATTCGCACGAGCAAAGAAATGTATGCACACATGACATTGCTTCACAGCGTCAGACGCGTTGTAAGATACTAAGATGCCATCTTCACATATGACTCGACAACAGGAATATTTTGCAATCCAATATTGTCCAAGATTTTCAGATTATATATCAAACCATGCATATATCTATCATGGTGCATGACGACACAGAGTATATATAGTCTAATATCTGTCCAAAAGCTGCTATGCATAATGCATAATGGATGTGATCAAAACGGCAAAAGCTATATATGACCGGACATATATAATTATAGCATAGACGATAAGTCCAAGTTAAACCGGCAGTTCCAGAGGAAAAGGTGGCCAACTGCCATTGTCCAAAAACTCACCATTTCGTAGCATTTCAAAGGTGGCCAGCTGCCATTGTCCAAAACCCTACCTTCTTGAGCAGCACATTGCATTTGAGTTCCCATGCCGCAGTGTTGACAAAGAGGTGGAGTAGGAGTTCACACGCGCACCACCACCCCGTCGCCCACGCCTTCCTTCCCCTATAAAACCCCCCATCAAACCACGGCATGACGATCATCCAAAGCACAGCTCGAAAGTTCACAAGTCACAACACCGGCCGTGCTCGTCCCACTCCCCGCACCAGTCCCCATGGCGCCCAAGGCGGCCGGAGCCCGAGTGCCCCTGGCGGTGACCGTCTTCATGGCGGTCGTGACGACCATGCTGCTGCAGCCCGCGGCGGCTGGCCTGTACGGCGACCGTGACGCGCTCATGGCCCTGCGGAGAGGCCTACAGGACCCTGACGGCGCGCTGTATACCTGGATCCCGGAGGTGAGCCCCTGCAGCAACTGGTCCCACGTCACCTGCAACGGCCAGGCCAACCGCGTCACCGAGATGTGAGTGAGGCGACACCGATCCTTCTTCCCTTCCATACTGCTTCCGTTCCGTCGTATACTTCATCCGATTTTCAATACGGGGTTTCTTTGTTCTGTCAGAGTAATCGGCTTTGTGAACCTGACCGGACCTCTGTCGCCGGAGCTGGGCAAGCTGGACCAGCTAACCAAACTGTGAGCCTCTCTCTCTAACCCATCTGTTTCTGCCCGTAGCGATTGTTCCGTTGACGCGGTTGATGGATCAAAATGTACTATAAACTCTTATGGCATCTAATGAACAGGTGGATTTCGTACACCAATATCCAAGGAACGATCCCTGAAGAGCTGGGCAACTTGGAGAACCTGAACACCATGCATCTGCACAACAACAGCCTCTCGGGGCAGATACCTGCATCGCTCGCGAAACTCAAGTCTCTGAAACAGCTGTGAGTCCATGATCTCCAGTTTTTTTTTCTTCTTCTCTTCATGTTTTTTGTTTTTGCTTTTCAAGCATCGAATTGCCTCGTAGTACAATATTGGATTTGAAGTCTGAAGCCTGGTAAACAAGTTTCATGATAAAACAAAAACAAAAAATTTTGAATTCTCATGATAAAACAAGTTTGGCTCTGATGTCTGAACATTTGCATGATGATTTGGCAGGCACCTTCAACAGAACCGCTTGACCGGCCCGATCCCCAGCGAGCTGGATGGGCTGTCCGACCAGACGAGCGTGTACGTAGGACGATTTTCTCAGTTGTTCTCTTCTCTCTCGACGATCAATTAATCCAGTGATCTTCATCTCCATTGTTTTGCTTGCAGTAATCTGTCAAACAACGATCTGTGCGGCCCGATTCCGACGGATGGTCCCTTCAAGAACATCAATTCCAGCCTCGCCGACAACCCGCGGCTGGGCAGCAACTGCTAGGCCGATGCACGGCGTTGGCTGCCCGCCGGAGTGAAGAATAAACTGGGTACTCCTACTCCTACTACTAGCATGCAGCCAGAGAATCGGGTGGCGCCGGTTCATGCATGCACGACTTAGGTGGATTCGTGAGCGAGGTTAATTTAGCTGTGTGCCAGTGCCAGAGAGCATGCAGGCTAATTTATGTATGTGTTGTGTACAAGCCGAGATCGATCGTTGTGGGCTTGTTTCTGGCTGTTGCCATCGATGGGATGAGTTACATATATGCTTCCGGTGCCGCTTTGGGTGCTTGAGTCACTACTCTCGAATTTATTCAGCGAGTTTCTTTGCTTTGGGTGCTTGAGTTGACTGCATTCATTGTGTGTGTGTGTTTTAAAGGAGATTGAAACCCCCGACCCTGCATCATTCTGATGCACACAATCATTCTTATTGATTGTTAAGCAGAGTACAAAGCAAAGTCAACTGTGGCTGAAGCATTTACAAGGTATGAAATCATGACGTGTTGTTGTCATTATCATATTTTGTTGTACATATCTTTGTAAGTAGGAGGGTGTTTGTAAGCCTCGAGTCGAAACATGTAGCAAGAGACAGAGCACGCCAAAAGGACCCCCTGGCCAACAGAATTGACAAAAAAGACTACCCGTGAATATATTTGACAAAAAGGACCCCCTGACCAACAGAATTGACAAAAAAGACTACCCGCAAGAGTATTTTTACATTCACACAAAAGTAAGAGTCCTTTTACAATACATCAAATCATTTTTGGACGTTTATTTTATAATCCGACAACCCAAATTACGCAATACCACAACAAAATTCTTGTAGTGTACGTATTTGGGGTTTAAGGGCACTTTGGGTAGTTCACACGTTTTCAGCGGATCAATAACTACATATTAATCAGGATTAATTACATGATAAATCTACGTATATCAGTCTACTAGAAATACCAAGTTGTCGTCGAATTAAACTCCGAGCCAATCCATATTTACCATTGAATCGACTTAATGCTAAATATTAAAGTCTGCAGTACGATGTATCTTATAAAACTCTAAGAATGCAATGCATGGGCCCTGAAGCTATAGTTGTACATTTTTGTCCAGTATAGTTCTGGAATTTGCTTAGCTTATATTGGCCCGACCTCTGTGCCATAAGTCTAGGATGTTGGCAGCACCATTTTTGTTGACCGATCAGCTTGATACTGGACAACCATGCATTCACAAGGTTGGTTGTATTATTTGCCATATTGGGGGACACACCTATTCTAAGAATGGAGCACTAAACAATGTTCCAATCCACGAATAATAGTACACGGTATTTTTTGGGGGTACTTTGGTAACACAAGCTTTCGATGCTAGTGTGATTCAGAGTCAAAGAGCGTGTTTGAGGAAAAAAAACATAACTAGTACAAAGGTCAATTGCTCTGATTTAAAAACACAAGTTCTGAGCTTTTAGACATTTTATAGCGGGGCCCTAAGAAACTATACTACTTCTGACAAAGGTATTCCTTCCGTTTACTCTAAAACTCTTCAAAAATAATCATGGAGTTGAGTTGCTTCGATACAGGCATATGAGCTGAGCATTCATGCCAGACATTAACTTGCAGATGTGCACTTCTGAAAGAACAAAAACTATTGACAGCAAACCATTTGCAAGCACCATCTCTTTTTGATCTTTTGTGAGTAAAAGAAGTATTTAGTATTGTGGGCTGGTATGGATCGTCAATCCTATTTCTAATAGCACAACATGCTTGGTCCATATCTGCCGTCATGCTCAACTACATGGCATACGATTTTAGCCCATATCCCTCAATTTTATATTCCTTGGCCTGAATGTATATCTAACCAGACAAACATCTCACTGATAGCAATGCTGATAATGCACCAACGGTTACAGGACATAAAGAGTATCCAAAGGTGGGTGGCCAAAAACCAACAAGTCAAACAGAAGGAAAAAAATGCACGCCGTTTTTGCTATAGTAAAAAGGCGCTAGATATTCATTATTGCAAAGCATGCCCAAAGTTTAACTGATAAAGTACAGGTGGCGAAGCACCGAGATTTTAAGAAAATGATGTGTGGGTTGAAGGAGTTAGCTAGGGGAGAATATGTGTATACAAATTACCATTTCTATTTCAAATAATGCAAATCTTATCTATCATCACAAATGAAGGAACAAAGTAAAAAAATAGTTAATGATATATATGAAAGACATGGGTGTTCAGTACAATAGAAAAGAAATTACTATGCATTTGACCAAAATATATAGATGACCAGACATGTAACTCCAATGACTATTACATATGTGCGAACTACATGTTCTAGAACATCAAGAGAAACTATGGCCAACTAACTAAACCCGCAAAACACGACGCATATGTATACAATGTTCGCAACTTAAAAAAAATGCTCACGAATTTGTAAAAATTATTCGCAAATTCGAAAGATGTTCAGAAAATTGTAAAAAATGTTTGTGTATTTAAAAAATGTTCACGATTTCATAAAATGTATGTAAAGAATGTTCATGTATTGAAAGAATGTTAGTGAATTTGAAACATTGTTCATGAATTCATAAAATGTTCGCAAAAGTTAGGAAATGTTTGCGAATTTCTAAAAACTGTTCCAAATTTTTTTTCTAAATTCGATTGATTTAAAAAAAATCACAAGTTTCAAAAATATTTTCACAATTTCGAAAAATGTATGTAAATTATTTTTTAAAATCACTAATTTGAACAGTGTTCATAATTTCAAAAACAATGCTCATGATTTCCAAAATATTTCATAATATAAAAAAATGTTCACAAAAAAGGAAAATAAAGAAAAAGGAAAATAAAATAAAAACGATAATGAAAAGGAGAAAAAAGAAAAAACCAAAAACATGGTAGTTGGACCGGCCCAAATGTACGCAGCGGAAAGCAAGGGGTGTGCTGTCCCTAACCAGCGACATGCGCGCCAAATAGGATCCCCGGGGTATCCCCAACACGGAGCTTATTAATTTTGCATATCTTGTTGATGTGGGCTTGCTTCTCGTCTGCATCTGTCAGCGCATCATCTAGCTTCTTTTTAAGAGTTCTCAAAAAAAAGAATCTAGCTTCTTTTAAGTGATCGATAGAAGCAATTGAGCATCTGATTTACGCAAAGTTTTACGAGATCAACCAACATCCATGTGCTGCAAGAGAAACCACTCTGTCTGTGTGCAATGTTGTGAGAGCATCTCCAACAGCCGCGCAACGCGCCACGCGCTAAAATTCGCGATACAGTGCCGGGTTAGCCAGCTTTTGCGCGCAGCGGTGCGCTGACTCCAGCAGCCGCCGCAAATTAAAGCGCGCCCATGCCGCTTCAGCAGACGCGCTATATTTCAATTTTTTTTACTACATATTTGGTTTCGTAGATAGTTTTCCTGCTACATATTTGGTTTCGTAGATAGTTCTCCTACTACATATTTGGTTTCGTAGATAGTTCTTCTACTACATATTTGGTTTCGTAGATAGTTCTCCTACTACTACTCGTCCGACTCGGACTCTGTCTCAGTGATGTCCTCCTCCGACGTCGGAGCGTAGGCGTCAAGGAACCGCTCGTCGTCGGAGTTCCAGGAGGACGCATCTCCTAGCGATTGGTTGTATTTAGCGCGGCGGCGGCGGCGGGAGGGGGGGAGGGTCGCGGCTATAGGACGGGGTGAGCGGGGTGCCGGCGCGTGGGTCCATGGGTGCGGGTCGTCGGCGCCGGCGCGCGCGGGGCTTTGGAGGGGGAGAAGACAGAGCGCTCGAGTGTGCCGCGCGCGGAAGCGGGCGCCGCAAATACACCGCGCGAGGTAGCGCTTCCTGCCGCGCCCAACTGCTTATATCGCGCGCGCGGTTATTGCGCGCCCGCTGGAGCCATCCGCCGGGTTGCGCGCGCACTAAAATGGGTATATTTATGGCGCGCCTGTTTAGCGCGCCTGTTGGAGATGCTCTAAGCAATGGAATTCATATGCCAACTTGCAAACATAGGTCGATATATTTATACATTAGTTCCCGGCTAGTACAAAGCGAAGAAGTCTTGATTGAGATTCTAGTTGTGTGTGAGGTTCTTTGAACAGCCAAAATTTTGCAGCGGCAAAAGAAGAATGGGTGGGCTCGCCGGATTTAGAGGGGCTTCGCCGCCTGCACAAGGGCATGTCTGTTGTGAAACAGCCGAGTCATAAAATTTGATGTGGAAAAAGTTTATGGGGAGAAGAGCAAGAAAAGAGACATGGGTATTTTGGTCCAGAATTTTGCATAATGACATCAGAAGCTTTGCAAAGTTGCAGCGGCATTTTTCCAAAGAGTGAAGTTGTCACGGCATTTTTCTGAATCGCGAAAATATCAAACTAAGCCAAAAAAAAAGTTGGTGCTAACTCCGAACTCCCAAAGGCCTCACGCGGCTGAACGTTCAGGGCATGTCTAGTGTGAATCAGCTCACCAACGTTGCCGAGCTCAAGCTTTGGGCGAGCCGAACCTAGCTGTAGGCGGGCCAGAACCAACTTCACCACGACCCAGCAAGCTCTCAAACACGCTGTCAGAGGGCCTGTCTGACGACGACGCGCTGCAAACCGAAGACAAGAGACACGCTGTCACAGAGCCTTGTGGTCGACCCAGCAAGGCGCGGAAGCGACGACCTCGACCACGGTGCAGCCCCGGCGTGCCCGTCGACACCGACCGAACCCGAAGTCTGCCGGTGAGGATTGGGTGCTCTGGGATAAAAAGGCAGAGGGGCGTCATGTGCAGTTGAGACTACCCATAATGAGAGTAATATAGATAGTAACATCACACATATTTAGATGGAATAAATGGTATGGCAAGCAATAAATAAAGAAAAAGAAGCATATAGTAACATAGCTAGTTAGTAGTAGTATGAGTAACACCACACATATGTTACTATTTTATGTTACTACCATTATGGCTAGTCGGAGGACGTTCGAACAGCCCGAAACCCACCATTGCTGTTGCCAGCATTTACCCTCACCAACAACCAGCTCCAGACATTGCTTGATCGCACGTTGCCGTCAATGATTCAACAGGATGAATTACTACTACTTACTTTCCGTAACGGAATCGCAGCAAGTCGCCGCTTTGATCGAGTGAGTCTATTCGCTGCGTTGCGTACTGCCTTGGGCGTGCTTGGCTGGAGGTCTTCCGTTTTTCGGTCCGGTCGCTGATCGCCGATCACGGGTCAAATTCGACGAACGAACGAACGATCCATGGACCTGAAGAGGCCAGTCCGCGAACGGCCAGCTCCCGGATGCTTTTTACGCACCCCTGGCCTGGCGGTCGTATGGTCGTGCAGTGACATGCGTGGGCCATCTGCCGAGACCGACCGACCGGTCGAGGAGCCGAGGCTCGGGCTTATCCAACTCCACGCACGCATGGTCCCGTCGCACGCATGCACGGATCGTCTAACTCCACGCAATGTACTCCATGGCCACACGCCCACGAATTAGAACAGCCATAACCGTCTGTCTTGGGCTCGTTCCAAGTTTGCCTTGATTGCATCGTCGGCTCGGTGCCACTGCCGCGCACCGGCGTCCAAATCATTTTCAAGTAACCTACACACGGGGGCATCGCCCTGCTCGCCGACGCCACGACGTAGACGTAGGTGTGCGTGACTAGCGCGAGTCCCACGCACGGCACGACCGGCCTGCGCACCATGGCAGCCGCCAGCAGTCACCACCACCGGCCAAATCCAACACATTGTTTGGCGCAACAACATGCGTCCGTCCGTACGTGCAAGCTGCAGGATAAGGATCGATCGATCGATGCCAGGCACAGGCATGCGCTGCGCTGCGGCGCCACCACCTACCAGCACGCTGACAGTCTGACACCACTGGCGCTCACGCACTGGCACACTCCGCTGCAGCTCCTGAGCGCTGCAACTCTCTTCTACAGAAGCCGGGGGGGGCGGCACACGGGCACGCGCCGCAGAGGATCGATCCGCATCCGATCGCCCAAAACGGACCAAACAAAGCTTCGAAAGCGAGCTCGGATCGGATTGGATAAGCACGGGCCTACCCATCCCCACCCACCCGTCCATCCACGTCCCGTTCCTACTAATCATGACCGCCACCACATTCGATCGGTTTATTTTATCATCTCGGTCTCGCCCTTCCCTTGTTGCTAGTAACTCAGAGTAAATAAATAAATAAAATAACAATTACTTCAGGAAGAAGATAGAGTAAACAAACTTAGTTGCCAGATCTCCCTTGCTCTACGCTGTCAAATCACATGGTTTCCATTGCTAGGAGAGACCGATATTTTTTGCTTACAGAATGGCTTGCTTCTGTGACACTTCATTCCCTTCTGCTCTTTCTTCATCGACCGTCGCGATAATAGTTATCCTCACACCGCTTTCCACACAAGCATTTTGGCATCGTGCTGCATTCTTTTATTTATTCTTCCAAAAAAAGATTCACGTCGCATTTTCATCGTGACTAAAGAGGCGTATATATAGCTCGTGCGCATAGACGGAGACAAATCTTCTTTTGCATGCGTGCGAAATGCTCACTCTCTTCCGGCCGTGGCGGTGTGCTCCTGCGTGACCCTTCTTTGTCATCGGCTGGAGCGCGGTCACTACACGAACACGATAGCGAGCCACGTCTGCTACTATCGCATCTCAAACCTCAGCTCTTTATGCGTGCGTCAGGCGCATGCATTTCTCGTCGTGTTGAAAAAAAACGTCCGCTATTCGTCTTCAATCATGTTACCACAAAGAACATCAGAAATAATAAATTACACCCGGTCCAGATCCGTAGACCGTCTAGCGACGACTACGAGCACTGAAGCGAGCCAAAGATGCGTCGCCATCATCGCCCCTCCTTCGTCGGAGCCGGACAAAAATTATTGTAGCAGACAATCAGGAAATCGTCGTGCTAAGGTCCTCGTAGGACCAACACACCAGAACAACAATCGACATTGATGAAGAGTAGCGTAGATCTGAAGGATCCAACTTGAAGACACACGAACATAGACGAACGACGACCACATCCAAGCATATCTACCAAAGAGAGATCCACCGGAGACGCACCTTCACATGCCTACCAACGATGCTAGCCGCATCGCCGGGACGGGGGCTAGGCCCGAAGAACCTTATTCCATCTTCAGAGAGTCGTCGCCATCTCATCTTTCTGAACAAGACATAAACCCTAAAAAAACTCAAAGAACCATCTAAAAACATAGTCCTTCCTCCAACAAGGGCTGGGATCCACCGCACCCCCGCGGCCCCTAAGGCTACCCAGAGACGAGGCTGACCAGTGGCAGTGCTGACGGGAGGCAGAGGAACCCTAAGCTTTTTATGGGAGTGGAGGCATTGTTTGCGTCAGGTTTTGTTTCAAGTTGTTGAATAACTGCAAAAAGGCTCTCTATGTGTTTTACTCTCTTATAGCAATGTTATATCACGAACATGAAAAATGACAGACGACATCATCAAGTCACACGTCTTGACTTGACAAAAACCCATATTACAACCCTAAACTAATCACCCAGTTTAATTTGCAATCCTGAACTTTAAAAACAGTCAACCTATATACCAAACTAACCATATGGTTTAGGAATCAACCCTCCTTTCAGTTTTGACTTAGTCAAGCGTTTTTTACCGTGTTGATGGACTGTGTAATGCCAAGTCACCAAGATACGCTAACTAAGCCTAGGGCTAGCAGTTTAAAAAATAAGGTTGGCTCCTCTCTCTCTCTCTCTCTCTCTCTCTCTCTCATTTCGCTGTTCCCCCGACCCCGACCACCTCACCCACACAGCAGCAGCAGCCCCTGACTTCGTCTGCCACCAGTGACCGACGAGCGGGCGTTGCACCTGTACCTCCCTTGTGTGGTTGAAGGGTCGTTGTCACCCGCACTACCTACGTGTCGTGTGGATGTCGACGTAGCGTGTCAAAGCAAGCTGTTGCAGCCAACCCACCGTTGGTAGGCAGTACCCCCTCTGCGCTTCCTTGTAGAAGGTCGTCGTCTAGCACTCCCCGCCCATGTCCTCATAGTACGGTCGGGGCAGGCACCACCGTGTTGGGCACATGAAAGTTGTCGTGAATGGAGCTGGCAAAATGCCATCGCTACATTGAGGTGACTCCAATGGTAAAGGTGACATGGCTACGCTGACAAGGCAGTCAACATGGTCAAAACCGCTTGACCGTGTTAAACCCGGAGGGAGGGGGTAATTCCCGAGCCGTGTTTTTTTAGGGTGTTCGACCAACTTTTAAGTTCAGGGTTGAATATTAAACCGAGTGGTTAGTTCACGATTGTAATGTGAACTTTTCTCTTTTGACTTCTTACCTACACGACCATTGATCCAAATCCATGCTTAGGAAGGCATCATCAGACTATTGCTATAGTCGATGCGGCACATATATGCTACCAGGATGACTTGGACCTTCGGATCCAACGGTGAAGAGACGGTGGCATGACACGCGAGAGACGGTGGCATGCGGGGTACATGTCGTGCCATCTTATCCTCCCCTTCTTTCGGTGAAGTTACACATTTACATTTCATTAACTCTTATCCATTAGAAAGATGTATTTATTTCCATCGCTATCCAAACACTAAAATCTTTGACAGAAACATCGCCGGTTCGCAAATGTTGACTTCTTACACCGCCTAGCACGTCACCACATCGGTTATAGCCCATGCAGCCCATCTATGCGGTCGAGATGACCCGGACTGCCGGATCCAACAGCGAAGATAAATCGAGAGATAATGGCCCTGACGCACAACAGGAGGGGGCATGCAGGGCACGTATCGCGCCATCTTATCCTCCCCTTCCTCCGCCGAAGCCACGACGTTTACATTTCATTAACTCTTATTCATTAGAAGCATGCATTTCTTTGGGTCGCTATCCAAACACGAAAAGCTTTGACAGATAACATCGCCGAGTCACAAATGTTGACTTCTTACACCGCCCTTGATCCAAAACCCATTAGCGAAAACGTTTACCGTCTATACATGTGCGGTCGGGATGTCTCGAACCGCCAGATCCAACGGCTGAGGAAAATCGGGGATGATTCACGTGGCGCGCGAGGGGAGACGGCGTGCGGGGCACGTGCCTGGCCATCCTATATGTCCTTGCCCCCTTCCTCCGGCGAAGCGGCCGGTGGCTGCCTCAGAGTCCGCTGAACTCAGCACGCGCGCGCGAGCAACCTCCAGAGTCCGCTGGTTTCGCCCTCGGCTACCTGCTCGGGGCGGCGTTCGAGGGACGGCGGTGCTGCCTGGCTGGGCGGTGCGGGAGGGGGTGAGCAGCTGCGGGCGGCGGCGATCTGGGCATGGGGAACGCGAGCGCCAGGGCGGTGGAGAACGGCCACGCGGCGGCGCCGATGGAGCAGGTGGCCGTGGCCCCCGTCGGCGGGAGCTCCGCGGAGGCCGCGGCGCCGCCGGACGCCGTGATGCGGGAGCTCCCTCCTCCGGTCCCCTACGTCTTCGCGCCGCAGGTGATGATGATTTTGCCCTGCCCGAAATGGTAAAGAGGGAAGAAACCCTCATCTGGCCTTCTTGATGTTTTCTTTTCTTCCGTCATACGGTTGTTGCTATCAAGTGCACCGAGTCCCGTTCCGTTCCTATCAAAATTACCAAGTTGTTTTTTTTACGGGTAAAATTACTAAATTAGTTACTTGCGCCGGAATTACTAAATTAGCATTAATTGTAGTAAATTTAGTCCTGCTAATTGTTCTTAGCGGTTGCTTCAGTCATTAAATGACTAGATTATTTCCACCCGCTGTTTAAGCTTGAAATGGCAACTTGAGTTGTAAGGATGGCCAATGGCACATGTTTTAACTCAGAGATCCACGGCTTAACTGCAACTTGTAGTTTGTTCCTGGTATTCTCCAAGAGTAGGCTCTTGTTTATGTTATAGCTAGAACATGCATGTGGAAGAACGTAGTTTTGATGAAGACGCGTTGGTAGATTTCGTTTGGTTGCACCTGGATTCTGCAAATGGATTTGGTTTGGTGCAGTGGGCGAGTTGGTCATCCTTCCTTTCACGCATTCTGCATAGCATTAGATACTAGATAATATCTTTAATTTTCCTCGAACATTACGTGGTGTGCGACAAACCGTTACAACTTGATCTTCTTTTCTGGGCAGTTTGTCTTATTTGTTTAAACTATACTGTGTGCTAAGCAACATCGTAGACCAATTTTTTTACTCTTGGTCCTGATACAGGGACAGTCCACATTCAAGAAAACATATGTGGGGCATCATGATAAGCAAAACGCGTTTCACGGTTGGCACTATAATTGGAAATGGAATCCTTGAACAAACTGATAGCAAAATCTTTGTTCAGTACTGCTTAAATGTAATTTGGAACTATAAATGGAAATGGAATCCTCGAACAAACTGAGAGCAAGAACATTATTCACTACTGCTTAAGTGTAATGGGACGTTCAATAGTAGTACATACTATTTCAAACTGAATTCTGTAGCACTTGGTAAGGTACACAAAAGAATACATGATCTGTATTACCATCATATATGGTTTTGAATTTCAAATACAATGATTTATGGTGGTGCTTTTATTGTTGATTCACTTACCTACTGGATATTGTCTTTGATGCTGTGTGGCCCAATATGATTCTTGCCTTAAAATAGGAGCATATTTTGCACATTAGCTTGCACCTTATTTGATCAGCAACAGTTCATACTCCGTAAAGAAGAAAAGCATTTGGCCCCTGTATTACTGTATTAAGCTGCTCTGGAACGTTGTAATCCTTTTGCTGTATGGCAGATTTGCTATTGGCTTGATCAAACTTTGGCTGCAATACGGTAGTAGGTCGAGAAGTAGGTTTTTGCCCTGAAGTTCATTGTCGCGATCGATGGTGAACAACGGGCTTCCTGCTAGCGCGTCGAACTTGCTTTCCTGCCTTCAGCTCCCTTCTCTCTTGTAAGACAATGCTGCTCCAATTCAATTCATTGAAAGGTGAAGATACCAGTTGGAAGGAAAATAAGCCTCATGTTATTGTGTATAAATGGCAGCCAATGTTCTTTCTTTTCCTTTAGAATGGACATGCTAAAGCATCCAGTTTATTCTTACTGAATTACTTTTGACCTATGCAAAACCATGTGCTTTATTGACCTTTCAGATAGTACTGTGAGATATGTGCATTGACCTTTGGCCATCTTTTGTAGGATGTTGCTAACTCGTTTTTTTTGGAGGGGGGGTTCAAGTCACATCTATGAACAATATTGATGGTCCTGCTTGCACTGACGGTTAACTTCACCTGACAGGTTCCAGTAGCTCCGATGCAGATACCGAATGAATTTTCACCTGCTTTTAACCATTCATGGATGAATGGCTCGGATGAATCCACCAACAATAACCCCCCGGAGGTTGAAATTCCAACTTTGATTACATGGAGTCAAGGAGGAAACGAGGTGTTTGTGGAAGGATCATGGGATAACTGGACATCAAGGTTTACCCTTTACCTGATCTGTTATTCGAATGTTTTATCCAATTCTGAAGACGACATGCTAAAATACCAAATATCCTTATGAGTACTCTCAGGAAGGTGTTAGAGAGGTCTGGGAAAGATCACGCCGTGTTGTTGGTTCTGCCATCTGGAATATATCATTACAGGATGATTGTTGATGGGGTGCCGAGATATGTGTCCGAACTACCTCATGTGACTGATGAAAGAGGGCAGGTGGCCAACCTCCTTGATGTCCATGTCAGTAAGGATTATATCTGTCTGTTTCAGCATTTCGCTCCGGCCTTCTCTAAAATGATATTCCAGAATGTAGGTTCTTGATTTTATCTGAAAGCATCTCTTCTCTGTTTTGATTAGGAGTATATCCCAGATAGTCTTGACAGCGTGGCGGAGTTCGACGCGCCCCCATCGCCTGAGCACAGCTACAACATGGAGTTCCCAACCGATGAGGAGCTTACCAAGCAGGATCCGCCCGCTCTTCCACCTCAGCTTCTCATGACTGCCCTTGGTGGCATCGATCACTCCGACGAACTCGCTCCAAAGCCGAAGCCGCAGCATGTCGTCCTCAACCATCTGTTCATCGAGAAAGGGTGGGGGGCGCAGTCTCTGCTCGCCCTCGGACTCACCCACCGGTTCCAGTCGAAGTACGTGAACTTCGTGCTCTACAAACTGCTGGTGAGGAGGTGACCGGTGCCGCTGGTGGAAGATGAAAGAAAGCAACGGTGGCTGATTAGGACTGATGGGAGTGAATAAGAGAGTGTAGTTTGACAATGTACATAAGGGGGATTCCGTAATCATCCGTTTCTCTTTTCTTCTTTCTTTCTTTCTTTCTTTCTTGATTGAGTGAACTGTTCTTGTGGCGTGGGGTTTGAACCGTCTGAACTCCGGCGAAATGAAACAAGAGGGAGTGTTGTGAAAATGTCTGGTCTTGTCGTCTGATCTGTTATGTCGATATTTCCAGTGAGGTCTTGTCGACTTGTTTATGTTGGAATATGTTGTTGTCTGCATTTTCTTTTCGTCTTAAAACTTTTTGAGTGAACTGGTAGGTGTTGTTGGAGTTGTGTCGAATATAGTGTATAAGGTAGGTTATAGTTGGACTATGAGTTATATTGTGTTTACATAGGGTCTGGAGTCGTGTTTAATTAGGACACTTGTATCCTAGGCCTCTTATATATAGCGGGGTAGACACACGATGTAACATATGTCAACATAATAGCACGGGCACGCCGGAGTGTGGTATTGTAACGGTGTCACGGGAAGGAGCGTCCGTAGTCAGGCCCCGGGGATGTAGCCATATCGGTGAATCTCGTTAACAAATTTCGATGTCGTGCTCGTGTGATTGCTTGGTCCACGGATGATTAACGGTATGTCTCGAATTTATTCTAACAAGTGGTATCATGAGTAAGGTTCGATTTGAGGCCGTGGTGTTGATCTAGAGGAAGAGTAGAAGACGCAGAAGAGATCAGTTTGATTTAAGCTATGGTCGAGCGATTGCAAGCAACAAGCTCGGAAGAGATCGGACTCGACGGGCAGCACAGAAATCAACGGCACTCGTGTCAGGAACTAAAGCAATCCAGCGGCTGGATCGCGCATACAGCGGTGCGCGCTGCGCTGCTCGTGTGTGGCCAGGCAGGCTGGTAGGCGGCGCTTGGAGCGCTGGCGAGGGCCGTAGTCAGGCGGGTGTGTGCGCGTACGTACGCGGAGGCGGACTGGACTCCGATGGAGACACGAACGCGTACAACGCTGAGCTACAGCGACCAAGATTTGTTTTGGAAAAAAAAGGGGGACCAAGTCTCCAATGACACGGAATTAGGCAGGCAAATCAATCGGGAAAATAAATCCATCAAGGGATATGCATCCGTTGAAATTAGCAGGAGCGTTGACAAGACAATTGCTAGCATCAGGAAGTTGAGCTGAGACGAGAGTTACCACGTGAAGGCAAAGATTTTAATTCTCTTGGTTTTGCTATATATAGTAGCATGCAGAGGTTCTGTCCGTGTGCTTGGGGCATCGCGTGGAAAGCTCATATAATTTTTCGCAGGATCAGCCGTACAAAGAACCATGGCGCCAACGGATACCAGGTTTGAGGTGGAGAAGTCACGGAACTGAAAACCTTGGGTTATGGCAGATAAGGATGAAAAATTTGTTGGCACAACAGAGATGCTTGAGGGCGTTGCGGGAAGTCATGCCAGCTAAGATAGAATTATGTGTGATGGATGAAAATTCGCGGAAGATGATTTGGGAGCCTCGAGCGTGTCATACAGTCGAACGAGTTCGGCTGGGTCGGACTAGATAGTCTGACGGATCGACGTGAGTCGGTTGATACAGAAGACAGTGGTGGGATCAGCAAAGACGACATAGGAGCGTGATGCTGATGGTGACCGACTTCTGGGGCGTGAAAACACGTGGCGCAGGCTTGAGGGCTTGTATGGCTTCGACAAGACTATGACGCAGGGTTGACTCAAGGTGGTGTATACACGAAGCTTGAAGTCGATGAGGCGCAGGGGTGGACGGATCATCTACCATGGAGTCATGTTGAAGGTGGAGTTGGATTGAGGGGCTACGACGTAAGTGCACAGAGAGTTGAAGCCTATTCAGCGGAAAAAAGCGAGTGACACGCAGTTCGGACTGGAGCCCAGTGGTCTGATAAAAGCGTGAAACTCGTCACCGGCCGGTGATGATCGGTGGTACTCTGCAGTGGGAGTTGAGTGGTGTGGGTTCGCGATCCTTGAGACTCGACCGGGACAGCGGAGGCTTGACGCGGTAATAGCGGCGAGGCGTGCGGTATGCACGGGGCATGGAGACGGGCCAGGGCTCTGGTGGTCATACATGTGGTGAGACAACTACGAATTTGACTCAGGATGACGACAAGGAACGGTGAAATTCCTTCAAGTTTCAGACAGGCGGTTAAGAAAGGAGCGGTGATGTCGAGTTCAGGTAACTTTTATGTGTGACACCCAATATGTGAGTTGTTCATTTTCACGCAGGTCAGTGATCAGTGTGTGATGGCGTTGGACGGATACTCTGAAAGTTGAAAGCACAAACTAGAGTAACAAGGAACTTAATTTTGCTCGAGTGTTGACTGTGGTCAAGAAAAGGAGGGACTACAAAGTTGCAGGTGGAGTCATATGGAGTCTTTGGAGTAGCAACGATACTCATGGGATAAACTCAAGTCCAATGTACATGGAAGTTTGACGCATTGATGAATTTAAGATGGTGGAGAATATTCGTCAAGGTGGAGTTTGTTGGAGTTGTGTCGAATATAGTGTACAAGGTAGGTTACAGTTGGACTATGAGTTGTATTGTGTTTACATAGGGTGTGGAGTCGTGTTCAATTAGGACACTTATATCCTAGGCCTCTCATATATAGCGGGGGTAGACACACGATGTAACCTATGCCAACATAATATCACAGGTGCGCAAGGGGGAGCCGGCGGCGTGTGCCGGAGCCCGGGTGGCCGGTGTGCGGTATTGTGACGGTGTCACGGGGAGGAGCGCCCGTAGTCAAGCCCCGGGATATAGCCATATCGGTGAACCTCGTTAACAAATTTCGGTGTCGTGCTCATGTGATTGCTTGATCCTCAGATGATTAATGGTATGCATTGAATTTATTCTAACAGGTGTGAGCAGTTCAGTAGGATGGACAAAGTTGAGACGCCAATGTGTTTTTGGGAGGTGTAGGTAACTAGGAGTAAGACATTGGAAGAAAAAAATTCCATCCAAACACATGTGATATAGGGACACAGATCAGGTAACATGCACCTTTATCAAAAAGAGACCGCCAGGAAAGAATGATAGCGTCTCGCCATCACAAAGCTTAGCCGCATTTGTCAAAAGGCTCAACAGCGACAGGGACGGTTGGAGCTTTAATCCCGTGGAAGATCTTCTGAAACCCAGACAAAGCGGTAAACTTACCCCATCACATTGCACGGCCTCAGCTTCTTCTATTTGTGACGATGACGATGGGAGTAAATTCTTTTATTTTCTGAACTACTAGGGCAGGGAGCATGTGAAGTTCGACCTGGACGAATT